CATCCGAACAGAACGGGCCGATGGTGGCGACTACTCCATTCAAGTCGGAGTACAGCTGATCGAACTGGCGTCGAATGGCCTCAGACTCGGCACAGCCGGTGGTCCCTGTCTGAACCATAGAGTAGAAGAGCGTGTGATCCGGAAGTAAGTCGTCTAGGAAGCCGTCCTTCTTGTCATTGATCCGGTCAATGATGTGCATCACATGCTGGCATTTCTCGTACACGATGAACCATGGCGAAATATCACAAAAGACTCCGACGCGCAGCGTGTCGCCCGCGAGTTCTGGCGGCTTGCTGTTGTCGGGCGTTGGCCTCGTCAGCGCCTGACCGTTGCCGGCAAAGCTCTGCTCCCAGTTGTCGGCTGGCTGCCAGGTGCCAAGCTTGACCCACGCGCCTGACGCGTTCACGTTCATCACATCGTAAAGGACGCCACCCGCGCGGTCGCCGAGGGTGGCCGGCTCGGACGAGAAGGAGACTTTGCCCGTCACGCCGTCGAACCGGACGGCGAGAAGGGCCGCCATCAGAGCGTCGCCGTCGATACGCTGAACCAACGGGTCGTCCACCAGCGCTTGCACTGCGTGCGCCACAGCGTACACAGCATCGTAAGCTCTCGAGGCGTAGACGCTCTCGGGAAACTGATTGTTGGCACCGAAGCAGCGTGGCGCCATGGCATTCTCATCCGTATCAACTGACCAGAGTTTGTGCCCCTCGTCGTCCTCCGCCGGGTCGCAATTTGTCCCGTCGCCGAGCGTGGATGGGCGCGCGCGCTTGCGAGAGGCGTAGCCGTCGTACGCCACGCTTGGCGCGATTGAGTTTGTGATCGCGAGCATTCCGCGGAAAGGTTCCAATACGCCATGATCACCCAACACGCGGGCAGCCTCAAACATGCCGTACTCACCGACCCAAGTGTACTTGGGGCCGACGAGCCGAAGGTCCAAGGCTTGCTCCAAAAGGCGAGCTGCGTCCTGTGAATGAACAATGGCGACAAAGACGGTCGCGCGAGATGCATGCAAAGCAGCGAGGGGCTCGCCGAAGTTGCTCTGACCGTTTTCGAAGCGGACAGACTCGAGGACGGTGATTCCTTGAGCAGACGCAGCCGCCTCAAAAGCCGCCATGCCGGCGGTGCAGTATGCGTCCGTGCACGCAATGGTGGCCACGCGCTTGATGCCGAGGAGGTTTCGAGTAGTTTCG